TCTCTGGTATGTTGCAGGATTCATTGTAAAAAAGTACAACGTGGGATGAAGTTTCTGTTCCCCAGAGCAGCCCACACACTTCTGTGCACTGACAGCTCCAGGGGTCTGATAACACCCAGTATTTTGGCTACTTCTGAGCAGTGATCACACAACATCAAGGCTGTCTCTCCAACATTTGTTTCTGTTCTATTAAACTGCCTTTATCTTGACCCACTAATATTTCCATCTTATTTTCTCTTCCCTCTCCCTGTGCTGCTGGGGAGGGGAGTGATGAAACAGTTATGTGGGCACCTGGTATCCAGCCATGGTCAATCCACCATAAATGTTAAGATTAATCATATTTTGGTTCTGTTTCTACAGAACCCAAGAATAGCCAGAGCAGCAAGAATTTCTTGCTCAGATTTTGGTATTTAAAAAGAAAAAAGTTTGGAATCAAAGTTGTTTCACGATCTTTTTGTCTGAGAAGGTCTTACTGTATATGCCATATTTGGATAAGTTTTTTGTGACTTTTCCTTAAAGGTAATTTTCAGAAATATTTGCATTTTATAAGAATAGTCTTCTCTACAAGGAGATGTTATTCTGGCATCAAAACACAGGCATTCAAATGTAGTTGATCACTCATAAAATTTTCTCACTTGTACGATAAGAACATTAAAGGGGAAAAAAACCCAACCTTTCGGAAATGTTTAACTATCTACTGAAAACTTAAATTAAGTGTTCTGTTTCAGCAAGGAGAAATTCTCCGAGCTAATCTATGTTTTGTTTCTCTCCCTGCAGGTGAGGATATGGAATCGCACCAAGGAGAGGGCAGTGAAGTTTGCCAGCTGTGTCAGCGGGCCCGTGCGGGTCTGCTCCTCCGCCCAGGAGGCGGTGACAGGGGCTGATGTGATTGTGACAGCCACTATGGCAACAGCCCCCATCCTCTCTGGGGACTGGGTGAAGCCAGGTGCCCACATCAATGGTAGGTTCTGTTCCCGTGGTGTGCAGCAGGTGGTCATTAGCACTTTGTTTAGCATCACCATCTGTTGAGAAGCAGTCCTCTGTGCTTCATGGAATGAGTGTCCTTTACATTTTGGCTTTTCCTCTTTAGTGAGGACCACTTTTCCCAGCCCTGTGCTCCTGGAGTCAGAATGCCTGCATAATCCAGCGGGGGATTTTTGCTAGAGCATGAGATTTGTTCTTTTCTCTTAGTGGTGCATTATCTTTGCCCTTGTGTTGTCATTATTCTCACTTTGCTCTCCATCTAAGTAACCCATACGAATGTTCTTATTTCTAAGTAGTTCCTGCTCATTGTTACATTGCCTTGCTGATGTCATCTTTTCTTCCACCAATTTTGTAATCTCTATTTGTTTCTTCTGGGGCTGATCACACCAGTTTGCTTTTTTGCTTGAGTTATGAAGATGCAGTAACTGAGTTAAGAACATCATAATTTAACCTCTAATTATAGTGAAGTTTGGAGAGGTGGTTTTTGTTTGTTGCCTGCCTTGTAATGATGTTACCACACTATTGTTTGGAGTCTCTGGACATGCCTCTGTTTATTTTTATTAACTGTGGGTCATGTTCAGATGTCCTTGTGCACTTTCCAGATAGACTGGTAATAAGACAAAAGCAAGTTCTCAAAGGGAACAATTTAAAGAAAGGTCCCACATTCCAGCAGCACCTTACCAATTTCTCAAACTCGATTTAGTCCTTTTTCATTGAAAGTTGTTGTCTGTGTTGTGTCATGGCACGGAAGTCAGAAATACAACAAAATCAATTAAGGTACTCAGTCACTGAGGCACAGAGACCTCTCTCCTTTCCTTGCCTTTTTTTACCCTTCATTGAGGCATTTGTACTGTTTGAAGAGGCATTTGAGCAACATGCAAATGCAAATGTAGCAAATGCAAATTTATTGTTCCCTAACAGTTGGACATGTAAAAAATATCTGAATACAGTATAACTGGCTTGTCCTTTTAGTTTTTGTTGGGTTTCTTGTTTGCTTGTTTTTTAAGCTCAAAGCAAGTTGATAATGATCTTGGTGCTGTGTATAAAAAATAAGCTCCATGATTTGTTTTCAATTTCTTTGAGTAAGTGATAATCTAATAAAGGTGTGTAAAATTCATTTGGTAATGATCTGATGAAAACAACAGTATAAGAGATAACAGACAAAGGGAGAGGATTTTCTTTTGCCTCAGCTACTCAGACTCTTCTGACAAGGATATTTTACTGATATATCTAATCTTGAATGGGTTTTTTTTGTCCTATCAATCAGTATTTTTCCAAGGCTAACACGGGATTTTTTGTACATTACATTTCTATAATAGTGTTGATTGTTATTTCACACGTGTCTTTTGAACAAAATGGTTGGAATTTGTTTTAAATATTGCTCCTAAGTTAATCAGTTTTGTTGCTTTAGCTGTTGGAGCAAGCAGACCAGACTGGAGAGAACTGGATGATGAGCTGATGAAGAATTCTGTTCTGTTTGTGGATTCCAGAGATGCTGCTCTTACAGAATCGGGAGATGTTATTTTATCAGGGGTAAGACTTTCTGAAACGATGAGCTTTATTTTTGTGGCAATTGGCTTGCATTTGAAATTAGCTGATATTGATGATGTCCTGCACTGAAACTTTAGGGATCAAATGTAACTGTTAACGCTTTCCAGGCAGGGGTTGAAGGATAAACTGGCTTCAAACTGCAACTGCTCTGTCTGTGACCAAACCATGAATCTTCTGTATCTACCATTATATGACACTATATAATACTATTACAGTAGCATGTTTTCAGCATTGGCTTTTGATGATAACAATGTGTTGCTGTTGAAAGACCTACATTTCCTGCAGTGTTTGATCATAAATATTCTTCAAATCTATTTATTAAAACCTGTAACTTTCTTCCCATGAGTCTTCAATGTGATTGACACTGGACCAGCCCAAAGAATGGACCACACAAGCAAAGCAGACAATGATCTGCACAGATTTGCCAGCAGGGACTCTTTGAGGTTCAATGGAGTTTTCTGTTTCTCTTTTAATGTGTCTGCAGAATAAATATGATTTACACTTTTGAGGTTTAACATAAGAGCTCCAGATATGGTAATGTGTGTGGAATCCCATGTGTTTTGTTGGACAAGTAACAAGCTATCCTCTGTAAAAAAAATTACTGGCTGAGGAAAGTCTGCCAGCTGTTTTTCTTTGAAAACCATTCTGCTCCTCTGATTTCTGTCCAGTTTCTATATAATATGTCTGAACGTTGATCTGCTTCACCATGGAAAGTAATCAGGTTTGGGATGCAGCACTGGAGGAGTTCTTTCTTTTGAAGTCACTCAGAAGAAAAGGGTTTTTTTTCCTCTTAATGTATGTATGGGTATTATGTTTTTGTATAAATATGTATTTTTTTCACAGGCGGAGATTTTTGCTGAGCTGGGGGAGGTATTGAAGGGTACAAAACCAGCCCTGCCTGAGAAAACAACAGTGTTTAAATCGTTGGGTAAGAACAGCCCCTCCTGTGTCCAAGTCTGACAGAAAACAATGCCTTGTTCTTTATTAGGTCCCCCATGCGTGGGAAAGCTGCTGATCATCTTCAGAACTGCTGTGGCAATGCACTGTCCACAAGAAAGTAGACTGTGATTTGCATTTTCCCTTTTTATTTCCCTTCTTATTTATCTAGCAGGATTGATGTAATGAAAAGTGATAGGAAAGCAGGCAAACAATGTAAGTCCATTTTCCATTTCACAGTTGTTCAAGACATGACTGCAGCATTTATTAATAGAGCTGCAGCCCGACTGCCCCGCTGTTCCACCCGTGGGGTCTGTCTGACCTGAGACAATGTGACAGTGTCCTGTGGGGCTGGGGTCGGGGACAGGGTGGCACTGGGGATGAATTACCATGCTCTGAGCTACATGACATCTCCAAAAGGGCCCAGTTGTGATATGAACAGTGAAAATTAAATTCCTACTGTTACATTAACTTCTTACAGCGCACCCAACACTGCATGGTGGCTATAAACTCTGAATGTAACACTGTAGGTGTTTGGGATGAGAAATAATTCCTGTGCCTGTCCAGTTAGATAATCTCCTGAGTCTTCCTGTTCCCTTTCTGAACAAAAATTATTTGTACAGCTGAATAGTTGTTTGAAGGTAACTTCAATTCTTTTTCAGGGATGGCAGTTGAAGACACGGTAGCAGCAAAATTTGTTTATGATGCATGGTCAGCTGGTAACTAAAGAGAGACGTCTACAACGCCAATGAGGCCAAGAAAATAGTTTGCACTTAGTTTCCTTGAATCCTGTGTTAACAAGAAAGGCACCAATACTATCTAAATGTGGCCCTTCTAGAACATTCAAGAAGAAAATGTGAAATTTCAGCAATATACTAATTTCTAAAGTCTTCTAATTTCAAGTATTAGATACTTGCAGTATTGTTAAAAACGGTCTCTTTTGTAACAGCGAGTATTAGATGTTTGCAGTGATACTAACAAGGGTATCTTTCCATATTTTGGTATCATTCTGTAATCAATGCCTTTCGTCTCAAATTATTTATGTAGCAGAAGCTTGTGTGTAGATTTCAGAGTTTTTAGAGGGATAATTAATTCTGGTGTAAAATAGATCAGTTTGTAGAATGGACTCTGGCATCATATTCACCTGTGATGGTACTTTAATACAACTGTGGGTTTCAGTGCTCCAGTGACAGTGACCTTGTCTTCAGCCTCCTGGGCTCGCAGCCCACCTCTAACTCCTGGACACACCTTCCCTTCCAGCTCACTGGAAGTTACCATTTTTTTACCCCTTGCAATCTACCTTCCTTTGCCCTCAGACTGGGTGGTCTTTCACTAAGGGCACAGTTCTGAGTGGGGGTTTATGTAATAACAATACCTCCCTACAGCTGGGTTTCTGCTCAGTACCTCCCTTAGTACATGCCTCCTGGGATATTGCCATTTTCAAATTGCAAGGAGTCACACAGATGTGAGAACTAATATGTGGTTTGATTTAACTTTTATCTCAATTCTGTAGGGAGATTTTTCTGTTAATCTATGGTGCCTCTAAGTTGTTTTTCTAAGGTTCTTGGAGGCTGGAACTGATTTCAAGTATACAGGCAAATATTTTCAGTTTGGCTGTACCATGCTTCAATTGCTAATTGTTCTATTATCACAGATATTAGCTGGGGCAGGAATTTTCATGATCCTTTCCTGGCAGAGGAACCCAGTGACATAAGGAAAAGTTCCAGTTTTGTGCTGTTATTCAACTGCCTTGCAAAAGAGTGAGCATCTGCTGAAAAACAGCTATTGCCCTGGAAACAAATTCCTGTCTCAGGCTCACAAGTTGTGCTTTGTGAAATTTAATTTCCATTTACATATTATTTCATGCAGGCTATTAAGTGTTTCTTCATGCTATGGAAGAGTTGGATGACAGGGCATTTTATAACATGCCAGTAGAATAGAGCAGAGCAACAGGAACGAGGGTCAGGAGCAGCTGGCATTAAAGCCCTGGAGGGTGCATGTAAGTGTAGGAGAGGTTAATGAGTACAGTGCAGGTGTGATGTAAATAATACTCCCAGTTGTAAGCTAGTTGGAAAATGTACTAAGTGGTGGACGTAGCATAGAAAGGTACCAGACCACTGATAGGCCTGAAAGATGTTTCATGTGGATCCAGACTGAACTCCACTGATCCTGTTTATTCCATCAGAAAAAATAACAGAAATTTCTCTGTGAGCTTCTGTGTTTAAATTGTAGCAAAATTACTCTTCTGTTTTTACGTCTTGTTTCTTCTCTGTAATTTCTGAGGTGTTCAGAAGTTTGTGTTGACTTAATTTGTTGTTTGTTGGTATATTCATATAGAACTATGCTAAACTGAGGTAAGCATGATGCTCCATTATTCAACACCATGGAAAATTGCAATTAATAATTATGACAGTATTATCCCTGTTCTGAGCCACTGTTATACCATATTTTAAATTTGAAGTGAGATGTAGTGTTTGGGAAGAAGACAAGTCCAGTTTGTTTTCACATGTACTCCTCTACAGACTATGCACTTTAAAAAAATAAATTGAGCCAGTCCAAAGATCTGATTCTGACAACCCACATTGTTCTCAGCTTCATTGGCAGTGGGAGATTTTGGGAACCTGGCTTCAGTGTTGTACCTCTGATATCATGAAGAGGATTTGGTTCAGTTACAATGGGAATTGCTTGGATGCCACCTTTAAATTTTCTGAGGGGAAATAATAGCATCAATTTCTATGTTTCCTTCTCTTACAAACTAACGGATCATGAAATTGTGTAACTTGCATTTATATTAAAATTAAATAGATACTGCTGTTTTTCTTTGACACTCATTTTGTTGTCCATTTCTTTTCTGGTTTGTGGTTGATTTATTTGATGACAAGAAAGAAAGCATTCATGTTATTGCAGTGACTGCTCTCTCAGTAAATGTGATCACTGAATGTAAATGGAAGAAATAGGGAGTTCCCTGTTCCTCTGTGATACTCAGCTTTTCAGTTGTCCCATGCTGCACATTTTCTTAATGTCTGTTCAGGGCAGAGTATTAAATCCTTAAGGAAGGAGAACCTTGTACTTGGCAGGGCTGTGCTTGTGTGAGATTGCCTGGTTTTATGATTTGGGTTTGGCTTCTGCTGTAGCATTGCACATGTGATACATAAAGACTCTCCAACTGAACTGAAATGAGTCCAGTGCTTCCAAACTCTAAAGGAAACAAAGGGGTTGATAAAATCTGAAAACAGCAAAGCACATGAGTAGGAAAAGCAACCATGGAAAGTTGTACAGAACGGGCTTTTGATGTGATTGCTTAATACAAGAACATATCAACCTGCGGTGTCCAGGAATCCAAGCAGGGAAGAATGCAGTATAAAGTTCATCGAAGAAAAGATATTATAATATACAAATCACAGTCACAAGATTACATGGAAAGAAGAAACATGAAAAAACAGATCATTAACCAGGATTAGCATCCACAAATGCAGTATACCCCTAAGGAAAAACTCATAGCTGGCTAATGGAAAGATATAAAAAGAGCTTTAGAGATAAATGTTCTGCTAATGAATGTACATCTAGAATCTGTGATCTTAGCCAGAGCATGGCTCCTAAAAGCACTTCATTAGATTCACAAAACTCTACAGGAATGATTAATTTGTATCTGATAGTGCTGGCTTCCCAAGAGAACAGGAGAACCCTGCTGTGAATGCCTGCAGATACAGTGTGAAGAGCAGGATCTTCCACAGCAGCACAGCTCATTTTCTTTTTTTATTTTCATGAGCTGTGTGTGTGATACACAGCTCTCAGGCTAAGGCTGACAACAGCCCACAGAAAATGGGGTGTGATATAAATCCTCATTTCTGGGACTTTGCATGAAAAATGCAGCCTATAGGAACCAAGCTGGGGTTATACCAAAATAGATCCAAAATTCTGAAAATTAAACCTCAGCTACTTGTAGTTAAAAGTATTGCAGCCTTGATGACATTTAGGACATGATGGGTACTGGCAATTGGATCCAGTCTAATGAGACAAGAAAGGAATATACAACTCACACTGAACATGTCTTGGGAAGCTACTTCATGTATTTTTAAATTATTGTCAATACAGAAGCAAAAACTTTACTGACAAATATATGAAACTTGCTGTAAATTAGTCTTATTTACATTAATTCAGAGGTGATTAGAGTCAATAAACCACAGCTAAAATCAAGATCCAGATTCCTTTCCTAACGTTCCATCAGTACTAGGAAGAGTGGTTTTACTGATCCCAAAGAAGTGAATGGAGAAAACCCAAAGCTCTCCAGCTCTGAAACTGCTCTTTGCATTGTGGTTTTGGAGAAGAATGGAAGGGCTTTATTAAGGAATGCAGCAGGCCTGGCTTTCATTGATACTTGAAATTATCTGGACCAAAACAAATCCAATCCACATAAACAGTTCAGGGAGAAAAAGCTTTTTGATTTTTACCTTCACATTCATGCTTTTTGGCAGAATATACTTAATATCCCATTCATCACAACTACCCATCCAGAGAGAAAAATTTTTATTCCTGCTGTACTTCCTAAGGAAATTGGTAATCTCTCTGCCTTTTGCTTTAGCAGACTTCTGAAAAGAGTTGACCACTCTTTGGAGAAAGGGAAAGATAATGAATCAGTGTGGAGGTTACAACAACAGTTATGATAATTTATAAGCAAGTGTCTATAGTTTTTCCAGGGTTCTCGAGTGCCTGTTTTCTTTTATTCACAGCATTCAGGACTTTCTTTCTTGGCCCAAGCTCCATCTGAATGCTCTGTAGATCTTCATCAGAACATAGCATCAGGGCATCTAAATCAATTTTTTCCCTCATGAAGACTGGAAGAAACTCATCCAGCATTTGTGATGCCAGAAATACCTCAAGGGGCGTATTCTCTGTTTCCTCATCATCCCAAACAACTTCTTCCTCATTCCAAGGGACATCAGCACTGTTTTCAACGTCATCTTCCCTGCCGTTCTCAGTATTTTCATACTGAAAGAGCTCACTGGCTATTGTAACTCTTATATCTTCTTTCTCAGAAGACACAGTTTCAGGATTTACCTCTGCAGCCAAATTCCTTCCAAACACAATCTTGCCAAGACCTGGCCGCTGAAAAATGGAGAGCTGACTGTCATTACCAGCAAGGTTTCTCTCTCCAAGGTCATTCAGTAATTCATCCTCCTCTTTCTCATCAAACAAATGCATCACACTTTTCCTACCCATATCATCCTCTTGGTAATTTCTTTGTGTTTCCTGCCTTCTTGTGCTGTCGGCTGTCTTTTTTGCCTTGAGTTTCAGGGTATCTTTCAGGTTTTTGGTTAAAGTACTTGTAGGATTTGAAGCAAATAGACCGGGCAACTTTACCCTGGAGTGCGTTCCTTTGGAAGAATTCACCGTGCCAACCTTTTCTTTAGTGTAATTCCGGTTCATTTCATGTTGGTGTTTCTCCTGGCGCTTCTCACATTCCTTGATTTGTCTCTCGACGTTCCTCTGGGCCTGTGCCTTTTGTTTGGTGACCTTCTTTGGATTCAGCAAGTTCTGCTCAGTGGCAGCTTTGTCCAGGATCTGGACACACTCCTTGCGGTCCCTGCTGGCAGCTGCCTCCAGGGGAGTGCGCAGGTCGTTGTCCAGAGCAAAGATGTTGGCACCAAAGTTGATGAGAAAAGAGACGCAGTGGATGTGGCCATTGCAGGCAGCGTGGTGCAGGGGCGTGTTCCCCCAGATGTCACACTTGTCCGGGTCACCCCTGCCAGGAAAAACAGCGCACAGTGAGCTGGGCTACCCACCCTGAGCTCTGCAGTGGCACTGAGCAGACACCAAACGTGTCACTCTGCTCTGCTCTGAGGAGAACAGCCCAGGGACAAAGGCTCAGCTTGGCTCCGGCCACGAGAACTGGGCTGCACCCACTGACACGAGCCCTGAGTGTGGCTGTGTGTGGCATGAGCTCTGATTCCTGCCCTGAGAGTTACACAAGTTCACAGGGCTGACTGTGACTGCATCTCCCTATAAGGGAGCCAGAGCATTTTCTTTGTTGTCCCAGGGTTTGGCAACTAAAAGTGGGCTTAAACTTCGACTTATTCTCATTGGAATTACTGACAAAACTGTTACAAGAACATTTGCATGGAATATTTTAAAGTGCTCTTGGTGATTTGTTCCTTTTGCATGTCAAATAGAGGGCAATATTAGGTTTCCTCACTGGCCACAGTGATACACACTTAATGAGCTCCTGCAGTAATTTTTAGGTAGGTAATAGGTAAATGACCTGGAGCAAACCCCTGATTATCCATTTGTTTCCATTGTTATTAGTTTAAGCCCAGATATATGCCATTGTTTTTCAACTCTTTTGTTCTCTGTAATCTGCTTTTAGTCATGATAATTTGAAAAGCAGAAGTTCATTTGAAAATAAAATGCCACATTTTTTCAATTGAATTTAAAGCCAGTGAAAAGTATTGCTTGATTTTTAACTCTTGCACTGACTTCACACTGAACTGCTGCCTGCAGACAAGAATCAGCTTGAATATTTAGATACACATTTGGCAAGGTCAGCCTCGGCAAGTTTCAGAACAGAGCTTGTGTCCTCTTGTGACCAACCAACAAGGCGGCCACAGAAGCCAAAATCTTTATTGACTTCAGAGCCAGGGACCAAATTTACAAGGAGAATTCCTACTCTTGGGAGTTCAAGCATTTCAATGACTCGGATGTTGGTGCCATGGCAGCTGTGAAAGACGTGGTACATCCTTGTCACAAAATGTCCTGCAGGCACGGATCTCTGGCTTTGGGGCTCTGAAGAAAAGCACTACCAGGTTTGTTGAGGGCCACATCTGAACACACCCTTCAGTCTGAGCAGGCAGGGTGAGCTCAGGGGTCCAGCAGAGCCAGCTGTGCCGGCCACGGAAGCTCAGGCTTTGCCACAAGGAGGTGGCAGCTGAGGATCAAAGTTTCTCCACTCAGACATGTGGAAGCCATGTGTACATATTTCTGCTCTGGTGGCTGTGCCCTGGGGAGCTGCCTGGCTGTGGCTGGGCGTGCTGGGCTCCTGAATTCCCACATTAGTGAGCTGGCTGGGCACCCGGAGCCTGGGGAGCGCCGGGTCATCCGTCCCCCCCAGGGCCCTTCGGAGCTGTTTGTGGTCTCCTCTCCCCGTGGAACCTGCCAGCCTTTGAGTCTCAAACAATTGACAGACTCGAGTGGCTGCTCCCAGCTCAGCAGGACTTTGGACAAGGTTTGACATCTGCTCTGGGTTCTCATACTCCTCCTTTCCCTGCTTTCCCAAGGCAAAGGCTGACACAAGAGAGCAGATCCTGCTATTTGGTCTTGCCTTTATTCATGTACCTGCTAGGCAAGCAGAGAAAATGTCTCCTGATGCCCGGAAAGACAAATTATTTCAAGATGAAAGGGGTTTATTGCTAGCTTTCCAAGGGCCAAAGCTTAAGAGTCCTAAAATCTACAACACTCTAAAGAAAATTGCCCTGTACCTCAGAGCCTCTTTCAGGAAACCTCTCCAAGGAAAGGACGAATTTGTTGAAAATAATTAAAATACTTTCTCACAAGAAAACATTAACTGACTGGAGAACAGCTCAAACATCTCTTAAAACTCAGCTTCTCCCCAAAAACACAATGAGAATGCAGCCATACCTCTGATAGACACATCTTCCTGATTGTGTCAAGAAATCTTAGATTAAAACAGAGGTAAACACATATGTTTGAAGATTTTGAGGTGATACTGTCCCAAAGCTGTCCTCTAGCAAGAAAAAAACTTAGCAATACATAACAAATATACAGAAATTTTGATCTTTGTGTTATCTGCTGTGATTTCTGTCAGCTTATGTGGTAGGAGATGTATTTTTCACTCAACTTTTGACAAAAAAAATCTATTTGTTCCTTATCTAGTTCTTCTGGCTTGCAGGTGTTCAGCGACAAACATTATTGACAGGTATTTCCTGGGAACTGCCTTAATTGCACAAGTTGAAAAGCTGTCAATCTATTTTTGCTTCTCCTGAGGACACAGCAACAAGCTCGCAGTCCAAAGGTCTTTTTCATTGTGATACCACAGCCACACCTGAGCCCAATCAGCTATAAAGCAAATCTATGAAAAAAATTTTTTTCAACTCCATTTTTAATAAAAGAAAGATACATCCAAATAGTTATTCAACTATTCCCTGCAATCTGTTCACTGTTCTGCAAAAGAACATTTTATTAACTCTATCGCTACACAAGAGCAGATTTTCTTTAATTAGATGTATTACAGAATCACAGGCTTAGAAGGTAGGCTCTGAGCAATAGAGTACTTATGGTGGAGAGGTAATTACTACTTCAATAAGACAGTCTAACCATGCAAGACACTTAAATGATATAGACATTCTATTACTAGAAAATAAACCTGTAGAAAACCTTCCTTTCATTTTTTCCCTTTTTTCCCCATTTTCTTTTGGTTTACAAGGGTCCTATCATGGCTTCTGAATCAGTATTCTCCATTTTAGCCTGATGGTAGTTGTTAAAAAAGCACAGAAATAACCATTTTAGATGTTACTGTCTCAAGGCTATCTGTTGTGACTCACCTCTGGATAGCATTTAATCTTCACAAGTGCCCACTAACTGCACTTTGGAAGCAAATGGGAGATTTTTAATTCCCTAAAAATTAGGGATTTCTCTACTAAACCTGTCTCAAGATATCCTCAAAGGTTGTTGTCAACCTTCTCCAGTGAGGAAAGGAAAGGTGCCCTGCTTCTCTGAGCTGCTCTCTGAAGGACACGACGTGGTCCTGTGGCTGCTGATGTGCTTTCACTGACAGACCACCTGAAGAACTCTTCAACCCTGGTCTGAAAATATCAAAGAGACCTCCCTGCAGGCTCTGGATCTAAACCACTGCCACTAAAGAAACAGTTATTGGCAATGCATTAAAGAAACTACTGTGATTTTCAACCTTTTGGGCTGGAGGTCATCGGGGCTTTAGAAACACGACGCAGTAATTGTAGTTTTGAGGCCCAGGCTGTAAGCAGTGGAGGCTGGCTGACTTACCCCCTCCGGCAAATGACTTCCAGAGCTTCCAGGTACCCGTGGTAGGCTGCCAGAAGGGTGGGAGTCATCCCATCTTCATCAGAAGTGTTGAGGTCTTTCCTGGTGGCCTCTTTCAACAGGTCCACGTTGCCATCGGCCGCTGCTTTGTGATACCTGCTCGACATTTTCAGCAGCTCCTGGTTCCCCAAAGAAGCTCTGAGTGATATCTGGGCTGCACAGTCACTCTTCCATCACAGGAGAGTTCATTAATGATTACAAGCTGAGACATCCCTGTGAGGAGGGGAATGGGGAGGCAAAGTCCATCCTTGCAGGCTCGTTGTCTGGAGATCTGCATAGGTAACGAGGCTGTGCTGTGGGGAATGCTTTCATTTCCTGGAAGGGGACTCTGCCTCGTACAGTTTGTTGCATAATTGGCTGCTTAGAGAGGGAATCCAGTAATTTTCTCCATGTCTTTGCCCGACTCTTTGTGGGAATTGCAAAAGGACTTTGAACTACAAAAAGAACCTCAAAAAAACCTTCAAAAGGCCGTGAATGTCAGCTTGACCAGGTTTCACCCCAACTAATAAAGTATCCCTGAGTTTGATGGGAGGAAACACACAAGCAGTTACCTTTACTGGTGAAGCCTTTGTAACCCATCTTTCATGGGATGCTGTATTTGAAAACAAGTCACTCCCCTGCCAAACCAGGTACTTCCATGGAACCATTTTGTATACACAGCCTGGAAATGATGAACAGGGTGATATTTGGATAAAACCCCCAACAAGTCTGCAAGTCACAGCTGGCAAAACCACAGCTGTGTAAATTGCATTTCATCAGGAGGTCTTCAGGAAACTGGCAAATATAAAACTCTTCTGACAGGTATTGTAATCTCTGTTTAGACACAGAAAAAATGTGCAGGATTCCCTCAGGATCCCACAGGGAATTCCAGAAAAGGAAACATGATGGGCCTGCACCCTGCCCCACGTGTGCACTGTGGTCCTTGCCTGGGAACAGATGGCTCTGTCCTCATCACAAATAATGATTTATTGATTTAGAAATCATTTGCCCTGAGTTCAGTGGCATTAAGGGCTATCTCTCCAACCAGAAACTTACAGAATTAGACTTATTCTAACTTCAAGTTCAAAAGAATTACAAAGAGCAGGCCATATAAAAAGCCAGTTTTCAAACAGCAGCTGAAAAGTTGGTAAGAGGCGACTGCAGCTTCCTGGAGTGCTGTGAGCTCAGGGTTCTTTCTGGCCACATTCACAAGAGCTGCCATATAAACATTACTTTTTGCCAAGCTGTTTTCTGTGGCTCACTGAATTAACCTGGATCCCAGAGACTCTACCCTCAGCAATTAGCAGTGGGGTTTTGTTGCTTGTTGTGCCCCCATTAGAGAATCACAAACCAACTCCTTGCTCAGCGTTGGTGCAATCCCCAAATGGAATTCTGCCACCTCATTTACATCCCATAATTCTGCCCCTGTGACACAGCAGAGACCTTTCAAAATGGGCTTTCTCTCTTCATTATTTTCTCAGGCAGGCACTGAAGAGCTCTTCAGGAATGAACTTGTACCAACCTTTTTCTTCCCATGAGGACAAGGAGAGCCGGTCAGATCCTGTGACAGGTTTGAACCTTTGAATAAACAACTCCAGGGCAGAGCAAAGCCAAGCCCTGGCTGTCCCTCATGTCACCCCAGGCACAGCTGTCCCTGCTGCTGTCCTGCCCTCTCAGGGCAGTCAGGATGGGCTGTGCCTCACCAGGCCAGTGTCCATCCCCACTTGAGAAGACAGTTTTACACTCAGGTTCCCTGCACTGCATTAATATCTTTATAATAAAAATGCAGTCATTTATTCTGTTTTCTATTCAACCAGGCTCAGCATGGAGCTAAATTTACAGCTACAAGAAAAACTAGCTGTTGCAGAACAAAGATAGGTAATACATGTATATATATATATATATATATATGATCAGCTGTTTATTAATGCCATTGAATTTTATTTCTTTTACTTGGCCTTTTTTCAGGGGTAAAATGATCACCATTCACATACTACATATACCACCAGTGCCTGGTAAGAGAGAGGAAACATGATACACTCAGGAAAAGTGATTTGGTGGCAGAACGATCCTTTTAATTTTCAAGATCCTTAGTTTTTACTACAGAAATACCTTAATTTGCTTTTCTCTTAATTAATGCAGCACATAAAGTGCTGATCTCAGAGTGATTTTTACCATTAACATCTGAAAATATTGATTTTAAACTTAGCTGGTATAATGCTAGGTGGGAAACTATTGCTCCAAGTTTTAACTAGAGGTAAAGCAAAACCCATGTCAGCTGGGGAGAAGCTTCAGACTTTGCAAGCTTTATTATTATTTCTGTCATAAAAGTAGGCATCATAAAAAAAAGAAGAAAAAAAAAAAACAAACAAACAAAATCTTCATCTGTTTCTAAACTCCTGGTACTTGTTCATTTTTGTCCCATCCAAAAACCTCAACTTGAAATGGAATAAATGATTCAACATCAAATGAGGAGAATTTCTCAGCCTGACTAGAGATTATTCTTTTGAGACTAAAGCTCAAATTTGTGAACTTTTTAAACTCCCTGGATAGTTAGAATGAAGCTTTTCTTTTTGGTTTGAAAAGAACTTCAGAACCATTCCACTTCCAATTGAAATGTCTTACCAGGCTCACGAGAAACTCTGTTGTGATGGTACATGGTTTTGTAAACTAATGAATTATTTAACCAGCAGCTTTGATTTGTTATTGGATTTCATTGTGTATATGGGTATTATTCTATTAATTTGAGAATCGTCTCAAATAAAATATTGCCAGTTAAACGAACTATTTAGATTGAAAGGCTGCAGCATCGCCAGTTAGGTTGTTGCAGATAACGTGGAAAATAAATCTGCACAGTGATGTTATGCCATCTGTTTTGCATGAAGTATTCTTCAGCACAACATTTCCTCATTGAAACTTTTATAAGCACCAAATGTGGTATGGTAAAGGCCATGCTAGGGGAGGCAAGTAAGTCTCTGCTTGCCTAATGAGATCTTTGGAACTAATGGGCTTAGAGAAGAATGAAATTAGTCACACTGGGTAATCATGGCTACACCATTCAGAGATGATGACAACATTTAAAATGAAAATAAGACCTTATTTCTTCACTTCTTAGGGAGGCCAAACTTCTGTGCCCCAGGACACGCTGCTGCTGGATGTCCTCTTGAGCAGCCAGATCCCACACCAGGCTGAGCCTGACCCACACCAGGCTGAGGGTCACCCGTGCCAGGCTCAGTGTCACCCCAGCAGTGCTGCCTGACACCCCCCTGATGGGATTGCTGTTCTGCCGTGGGTCCAAGGGCACAGCCTGCACACAGCAGGGCTGGCAGCAGTGACATTAACTGTTCTATCATAGGGACTTCTGCAGTTCTTGCTGTGAGTGCTCAAAAGTAGAAGTCCTGACCTGGTGTTCAGGCTCTTGGCTTTGTTAAATCATTTTCCTTGGTTTTGGGGATCTTTTCCCCCATTATATCTTCACCAGTGTTTCAAATAGTCCCAAGGAAAGCCACGTTGAGCTCATTGGTGTCTCAAATGCTGTCATGCTGGCACAGAAAACTCCATTTAAAAAAATAACTGCCAAAACAGACATGCATTTTTCTACAAAATATCTAATATGGGAATAAAGGGGATACACTATCAGAGCAAGAAGTGGATGCCTGTTAAAGACTTAGTACTGCCTTAAGGTCTCCTGTGAGCTGCCCCACTCAAGGAGCAGCAGGTGCAAGTGCTCTGTTCCCTGGGCAGCAGAGAGGTGGCACCTGTGTGAGCCAGACCCAGGGCTTATAAAACCCTCCCTGGGCAGCCAAAGACCAAGCTTGTGGTACCCTGAAGAGATGGGGTTTGAGCAGCAGTGCTGGAGCACCTCAAGGATGTGGTGAGTGTGGTTTGGGGTACAAGGGGAGGTGGGTCTTTCCCTGCTGCTCTCTCATGTGATTCTCTTTTCTTTGCAGGTTGCTGCTCCTGTTTGGGTTTTTGCCGTGCTTAGCCCCTTGTGCTGATGGCCTGGGGGATCAGGATCTCTTGGGTAATGTGTCTTCTCTGGGCTGGCTGTGGTGGGGATGTGGGTTTTGGGTTTGCTTGGGGCTGTTTCCCCCTGCCTTGGCATGGAAGGAGCTCTGAAGGGTGTCTGGCTGGGGGGCTTGCAGGGTGTGTGTGGCTTCAGGAGACTTTGCTGGAGCTCATGGTGGTCTTCCCTCTGCAGATAATGTAACCTGCCATAGGCATGGGATGGAAGTTGAGTTTTCCAGAGAGCTTAGCAACTACTCCTGGCATGTGTGGGTTGTTGGTACGTATTGCTGCTGCCCTGGCCCTTCCTGCTGAAACTTGCCTGCTGCAGGGCTAATTTTCCATATCCCTCCTAGATGTGAGTGGTGAGGAGATCATGTCCTGTGACCACACTGTGGATTATGAGAGGCTGATACTCAGTGTCCTGTTTGTCAACTGCACCAGCCTGCAGGTAAAGGGATCTTCGTCCTGGGAAGCCGCTGTGATGGAGTTGGGAGATGTTCGACTTTTTTCCCTGGACAGGACTGGGTTTAATAGGGTTTCTATTTCTAACTTTCTTCAAGACTAGGATACTTATACTTCTGATAATCTAAAACTCTTATAGGAGAACACTTCATGTCAAAAATTGAAAAAGAAAACCAAACCCCAAGCTACTGAAATTCTTTTTTTTTTCAATGATGCATTAAATCCCCTAGCCTGCCATAAATGTTATGCTCTCCTTTAGAGGACTTGAACTACTTGATAGGTTTTTCTTGTAGGGAGGTGGACCAGGTTTAAGAGTTTCTGAGCACCAATCTGTTTAAATGTGTATCAAAGACAATTAACACCATATGCTGACCCTAGCAGTTGAGGTAGAGTAGTAAGTGGGAGGCCAAAACCAGATGCTTTACTGGTGTCTGTTGCTTTGAAGTATTTGAAATACCACAAGACTTTTCTGCTGTTTATTAGCTTAGTTTTTTTGGACAGCTGACTCTCTGGCACTAAAACCTGCTACTCCTTAGAGTTTTCTTGACTTCTGCAGTTATCTTGGTATCTTCTGCTCTTCAACCTAACCCTGTGCCCCACTGATTTCCTAAAGAGCTCACCCTTTTCCTTTGGGCTTTTAAGACAAGAAATCATCTTGTCCTTGTGCTGGTGCAAGCACCTAAACCAACTCTAAGTTAGAGTTCAGTCCCAATGGCTTTTAGGTACCTTCATGCTGTAGTGAGTACTGCTGCCTCTTTCTAATTAACGTCTCTTGTCTGTAGCATGGTCAGCACCAGCTCTGGTTGAGGCTGATGGTGAATGACACAATGGGAGAGGAGACAAATATCA